ACATCCTCGGATCCCAATGCGTAAACTGTCATTTTGAGTTTTAGTTTAGCTCTGTCCACGATATCTTCTGTGCATTTAATGTTCCGCCGGTTGCACCCAATTGTTCACATTGTTGACAGGACTTTATTTCGCTTTGTGTGCACAGTTGCGATGGTTGCCATTGTAAAACCCACACCTGGCGCACCATTGTGTGGTACTGTTCAATTGTGCCGTTACAGGGTGTAGACATTCTCTATATTTACACACAACAAGCTCTCGATTACCTGAGCACCTGAGATGTTGACATGAATTAATAACTCATCTATTTTCCCTTAAACCCAAATTAATAATCTAAAACAGTTACACAACGTTGTTATTCTTGGAAATGTTTACTACAAGTCACGTGCTTAAACCGAAGGAATATGTTGCTCCGGTTAATCCGAAATCCATGCACGTGATTGCCACTAGAGTACAGGAGTTGCATATCTTTACAACAGCGCCGGAGTTTGATTGATGTCGATTGGCGTGGCTCTGCTGTCCACTTAGTGGGCAGAGCCTTGTGCTGGGTGGGAGCAGGAAAGTTTTATCACTGAGCACGCGCATCATCGATGGGTCGATCATTAGTATTCGTTCTCAATCGAAAGAGTAACAATCAAAATCGTCAGTTGTGCTTCATTTTGAGTCATTTATTGGATTATTTATATTTATTTACGAAACTGTGCGATTGATAGTGAAACGGAAACGTTATATAAAACAATGTCAATGCATTCTTTACTACAAGTTTTTGTATGGGTCATTAACAAATACAAATTTCTTAACTTAAATATGTGGAATTTGTGGTTTTTGACATATAGATCCGCGGAAAATGAATATTTTTAAGTTATCTGCTATTTTGAATGATCCGTGACAGTCCTCCCCGTCATTAGCGCGGAAAATCTAGTCTACTGTACTAACATGTCCCATAGGGTAACATTGCTCATACACTATATACATTTAATTTGATTCTCAATTTAGTAACATTTCCCATAGACTAAACATTGCCCATAGACTTACAGTTCCCATAGATTAACAGTGCTCATCGACTAATAATAAAGTAGTCAGGTGAGAGGGCAGCACTGTGCAACTACAGCTGAGATCCTGGTTTCAATTCAGGTATTAAGCCTCTGCCTGTGATTAATGTGGTTTCTGGATTGCAGTGAAGTGATGGGCTCAACCCAGTTACCAATGACATTTCATTGGGTTCTTCAATTAGTTTGGCTGAATCCAAGCTCTAACAATAAAAAAAATAGAATTACAGCAAACGCTCTATTATTCGGCATCTATGGGGAACGGATGGTGCCGGTTAATCAAATATGCAGGTTATGAGAGCAGTTATACCTATGGTTCACCACAAGCACAGACAGTCCTTGATTTACGAACATCCGAACTTACAAAAGCTTCCATTATATAAGCTGTATTATTCTTTTTTACATCGACTTAAAACGCCAACTCGCACTTGCAAACTGAACTGCAGAACTATTTTGTTCAGAGGAGCGAGTGGGGGGGAGCGGTGGCGGAGTGGTCAGCGCGCTGCTATGCGAACCTGGCGACCCGGGTTCAATTCCCGCTCATGGCCAACACAGTCAACGACTATCTGAACGGGTCCTGAGCCTCGCTTAGATCAACTCAGCCTCAAATGAGTATCTGGTGCGATGTGTGAACATTGCCACTGGGGAGACAAAGGCGGCCGGGCGTGCTGCTGGCAACCCACCCCCTCGTTTGTTGTGCTGGCCTTCATAGGTGCTCGGTAACAACACGTGCCCCCACAGTTTGTTAAAGGCCACTGGGAGTCAAAGGCGACCGGGCGGGGCCCGGGGCGGTTACCCCTATACACCGTACCCCAGGGACGCCTCTGATCTATTGCATGCTTTTTTTTAGGTGGAGATCAAATTCCGTACTTCACGTTGGTATGCAGGCCAGCCGGAGACCGAGCAAATTATATCCCGGACCTCTCTGATGTAGACTCACCTTTGGTGCTGGAAATCCCCCGCACTATTACTGTACCGTATTTACCGCTTAAATCTTTAAAACTCTGGATGGGGTGATGTGCGTGGTTATACTACTACGCCCTTGTTTCAGCAACAACTTGTGTTTGACGATCACCGCACTGATGCCGCCTTTATACTGGTGCTCGGGCGAACGCCGAATTACATGCACTGGACATTTTTTTATGTTTTTATAAGCGTAGTTATTAGTCATTACAAATATATACGAGCAGTATTTAATTTTTTTAAGTTGTTTTAGTTGTATGTAGTGTATAATGTAGTGTATATAATATTTAACGCTGAATTCAAGCGTTGCTATTTTTCTTGTCAGGCTCACGGTGGTTTTTCCGTTTTCACTCGATTGGCCCGAGACCGCCAGATAGTGTTGGAAGTAGCCGGATATAATCGATGATCAACTGGAGCCCCCGGGTTCCCATAAGTCCCCGGCTCTCGCATAAACATATTATAATGTAAACAAAAACTTTGCTCTTTATCACCAATGGGTTTGAAGGATGGTGGCAAAAAATAGTACCCGTTTTCAATGCGCTGTTCATATTGTAACAAGCGTTTATACCAATGTTACTCTACAGAGTAGTGGTTCGCCGCTCCTCTTATCGGCATTGATACGAGCGGTATGTGGGGACTCTGGCTCAACCGCAAAATGACCGAGATGCATACGGACAAGAGAAGTATTATCAAACAGGAGGAATTAACGGTGCAACGTATCTCATCTGTTAAATACCTGCTAGTAATAGGATTGTCATCGATTGATCCTGGCTGCAGACATTGGTAGGTCACAAATAATAATGAAGATAAGAGAGCAGTTTCACTGCATTATGCATATCGTTATGAAAAATAAAGGACTGAAGTCGTGTAGGCAGTTTGAGCAGCTTTGGATAAGACTTATGATCCTGCCCATACCCGAGCATGGAGTGCATTTGCTTGTTCAGCTCTTCTGCGCATTCGTCCTCGCTGATGCGCTTGGACGACGTGACATAACAGAATGATTCGCGTCAGGTGGGTTGTGGCGTTTATGTGCGTGGTGGGACGGATTCGCCAAAAATAAATAAATTAATTAAGATTTTCACTTCCGTTTATTCGAGGCGCCGGGGTCCCGCCATAAGGTTCAACTGTATTTGGGCTGCTGCTATAAACGTCCACGTGAAAGGACGCTACTTTGTTGGCCAGGTCACGTCCGAGAAAAATCTGTGCAGCTCAGTGGGCCTTACCGGGTAAAATAAACAAAATAGTTTGGTTTATAGTTGAGCTTAAGAGGCAGCGACTCTGAGCAAATTAAACAGTGAGCTTTTAGTGAGCGAAAATAAAACATGACCCGACTTGACAGTATTATTTGATCGTTTCATCTTCACCTACAAAGGGTAATTCGATCCAGGGATTGAATGGGGATTTCCAAAACACTAAAGAAACACATCACGTCATGGAAATGCAGGGACAAAAGCACAAATATCCCCCTTGTAGCTTTTAACACGCTATTGAGGCAAATGCCGTTGGCGAGCACCAAATAAAGGTCAGCTTGACACACACGGGGTTGGGTGGTAAAACAATAACACCACGTACAGTAAATTTTGATTTAAAGCTTTCGTGACTGCAGTAATTCATATTCTTAGTTTTTTCGGTAAAGTAACGTTGAAGAGAAACAACAAAATAATAAAATATATATAAAACAATAAAAAAAATTCTCACGACGTTTCGACCATAACTCAAACGGTCATCTTCAGGTGTGTTGGTTCGCATAAATTTAAGATTTTCACTTCCGTTTATTTAAGATAAATTTATGCGAACCAACACACCTGAAGATGACCGTTTGAGTTATGGTCGAAACGTCGTGAGAATTTTTTATTGTTTTATATATATTTTATTATTTTGTTGTTTCTCTTCAACATGACTTTACCGAAAAATACCACGTACAGTAGTTGCCTTTGTATCCCCAGTGCTGATATATATCACACACTGTGCCAGGTACACATTTAAGGCATCAATGAGGAGCCGTACCCTGGCACTGCCAGGAGAAGGTGGTCCGGCAAAGTGTGTGGACTACCGGTAATCTCGATATGTTCCACCTCACTCCCTTCTAACCATGGGTGGGCGTCGAAGAGGAGCCGTGCCCCTGGCTCTGTCAGGAGAATGTGGTACAACAGCAGTTTAATGCGTGTGGACTCCACCTGTGTTCCATCTGTACGATGGGATAGAGTGTTTCCCCCTCGCAGGCACGCGAGGGTTTTCTCTGGCTGCTCAGATTTCCTCCAACACAACACCTGCATATGCAGAGGGCCGGCTAAGCTTGGGGCAATTGTTGGTAGCCCCGGTTCATTGCGTAACTGCTGCTGCCTTCCCGCCCATAGTGTGGTTCCTACTCCTAGCGCTTCTGAGTCTGAGTGCCATGGTGGCGAGATGTTATTTCCCTCGTCTGGTATGCAGGAGTACTTGGGTTAGATCCCGGACCCTGACGATGCCTGTTGTATATTTGGAGACCACGTGTTCTCTCTCTGTCCGATCGTTCCGTGGGCGCGGTCGTGGGATGGTTCCCTATTGGTTAACCATGTTATGTATGCTGATGATCTGGCGATTGCTGCTCGCACAGAGGTGTTGGAGGCGCTGCTGCTAGAAGAGTAGCGTGCTACAAAGAGGTGGGGCCTTACCATCAGCCCGAACTCGGCGACCCAAGGCCGATTCCCACTCATGGCGAACACCAGTGACGATCATCTGAACCAGTCCTGGGCCTGCGCTAGATCGACTCAGCCTCAAATGAGTACTTGGTGCAATGTTTAAAACATCGCCACTCAGGAGACAAAGGCGGCCAGGCGTAGTGCTGGCCACCCACCCTCTCATGTGCCGTGTCAGCCTTCATAGGTGCTGCTCGCTAACAGCATTTGCCCCCAACAGTCTGTTAAGGCTATACAAGAGGAATCTGTATTTGGTTGTCGGTGTGATGACGATTTATCAATTCACCCTTTACTTTTTCTCTGGACGTTGCAGGTCTTCTCGAAGAACAGCAAGGGAGAGGTCACCTTCTTGGAGCGAGCTCACTGGCTCGGCACCACCGACTTGTGCAACGCCTCCATCACTATACGTGACGTGCAGCCCTCCGACTCGGGAATCTACCTGTGCCAAGTGCTGCTGCTGCCCTCCTTCAATGAGGGTCAGACATCACTCATCCTGGAGGTGGTGGCCGCCACTGACGAGGGACGCGGTGAGTGTGGGGCACCACGTAGATGTTATCTCCCTCGCCTGGAATTCAGGAGGTATTGGGTTCTGTACCGGGCCCTGACGATGCCTGTTATATATTTGGAGTCCACGTTTTCTCTTCTCGTGGTGGTGGCATGAATTTTGATCCGGGTCCTCCGGTTTTTTCCATGACATGTTTTGTTGAGGATGAAACGATCAGAAGATACTGTCAAGTCTGGTCATGTTTTATTTTGCTCGCTAAAAGCTCACTGTTTAATTTGCTCAGAGTCGCTGCCTTTTAAGCTCACCTATAAACCAAACTATTTTTGTTTATTTTACCCGGAAAGGCACACTGAGCTGCATAGATTTTTCTCGGACGCGACCTGGCCAACGAAGTAGCGTCCTTTCATGTGGACCCCGGGGTCTCGAATAAACTGAAAGTCCAAATCGTTATTAATAAATGTGTTTTTGGCCACTCCATCCCACCACGCACATAAACGCCATGACCCACCTGGCGAGGATCATTCTGTTGTCATGTCGTCCAAGTGCAGCAGTGAGGACGAATGCGCAGAAAAACTGAACAAGTGAATGCACTCCATGCTCGCATATGGACAGGGTCATAAGTCTTATCCAAAGCTGCTCAAACTGCCTACACGAGTGAAAACAGCCAAGCCCAGGTCGCGCCCTTTAAGCTGTGTGGGAGGAAACAAAAGTGCCTTGACAAAGGAATTTGCATAAAAATGGACATGATGCACGTATGAAGTACATGATGGACCAGCACGGGGGGGGGGGGGTGGAGGGAAGTTTACTCAAACGCTGTCCTCTGGACAGTCCGGTCCCTTCACCTGATGAAGGCCACGTATTTTGGCCGAAACGTCGTGATTTTTTGTTTTCTTTACCTACTGTTGTATATAGGCCACTTTTCCATATTAATATTAACAAGTAATTTTCCGATACATATAGATACATATTTCTATTGTTTAAAAAATATATATAATGAATAAAAACAACACCAACCCAGGCCTCAGCATGGCATGTGGAGGTCATGAAAAGCCATTTGCCATGACCTACTGATGACAGTTCACAAACTCCCAGGGTCAGAGGGAGCAGACAGAGCAGAGCACAGCGAATTGCAGGAGACTGGCGTAAACGCAAAGGAGCCTAGGGTCACCAAGAGTTCGCGTTAGCCTAGACATAGTTAAGTAAAAAAAAAGCTCATCCATTTAACCTGTGGTACTATTAAACTAACGTTAAAGTTCAGGATTCAACGACAGAAGTGGGATAACATGGTCAATCATCACACCCACTCCAATTGGCAACCAGGCCACAAGCTACGTCAGTGAACCATAACCCGTCTATTAATTCAATATGAAATGTTATTTCCATATTTTGATAATTTCTATACAACTTGACCCGAAGCATATGACAATCAGAATTTTTCTAAGTCAAAATGAATTCTCTAACCTCCAGCCATAAGTGAATAATAAGCAGAGTTAAAATAAGATTAAAGAAAAAAAAACACAGAGCACAGCAAAACTGCAAATGTAAGCAAAGAGCCGGGAAAAACCCAACCCAGCTACAGCAACAGCAAGCCGGGGCTTAGGAGTGCCAGTGAATTAAATAAATAATAACTCCCACGGTCATGTTGGATATCGACTTTTTCCAAAATTAATAGCAATAATAATATTTGCAAATATATATTTTTAATGACCCGAAATAATGAATAAAAACACACAAACCCAAAAACACACAAACACAGATGGAAATCATAAAAAGGCCATAAATGTATAGAATAATAATCTCCAAGAGAGGGCAGAGAGGTTATCTGCGAATCACCAGATGGCCAGGGGGCGATTTCACAAACAAACCGGTTGATGGACACAGCCTCCAGGGTCACCAAGAGGGGAGGGGAAGTTAACTCAAAGGTTGAGAGAGAGAGAGGAAGAGCCTCCCGGCCGTCTTTGTCTCTCCCCACAGCACGAGGAAAGAATTTAACACCCTAGTGAGGAAAGCTGTTGTTACGAAGAGGGTCGCCCCCTCCTCCCCCCCCCGGGGTTGTGGCAGATGGCACACAAACACACACACACGAACGCACACACACAGAGACCACGCCCCCCCTCCCCTTTCACTGCACAGAGCGGAGAGTATTTTTTAATATAACGGCTAAGTCAAGTCAGTCAAGGCAGTCGAGACGGATCAACGTGCAAGAAGTCGACAGACACGAGCAGTCGCAGCTAACAGCTGGCTCCAAGGAGCACGAGCCTCGCTGAGTAGCGAGGATCGCTGAGTCGCGATGTATCAACGAAAGTGAGTCCAGGGCAGGGAACAAAGTACCACTCGAAACTTTATTCCTACATCAAGTGCCAGCCATCCAGCAGCGGAAAAAGACCACCAGCACCGCCAAGCAAGCATGTGCAGCAGTCATCCAGCAGTAAAGAAACTGCTGTCAGCGAATCAGCGCTGAGAGCGCTCGAGCATCTCCACAGAGAGAGCGCGTGCAACGTGGCTCAACCAGCAGCGAAAAAGCTTGGCCAGCCACCAACAACCTCAGCATCTCCACAGAGAGAGCGAGTGCAACGTGGCTCAACCAGCAGCGGAAAAGCTTGGCCAGCCGCCAACAACCTCAGCATCTCCACAGAGAAAGGGCGTGCGACTTGAGTCATACAGCAGTGGAGGAAATCTGCTGTCAGCGAACCAGCACGGGCACGTTCGCGCATCTTCAAGGAGAGGCAGCGCACGCAACAGCGCGCCACTTCACGTCACCAGCGCTGAGAGCGCTTGGGCACCTCAACAGAGGGAGCGCGTGCATCTCAACTCACTCAGCAGAAGAAGATTCATCTCAACTCATCACAGCAGAAGAAAAGCGTGACCTGCCGCCCGCGAGCGCAGCGTCAGATACTCCAGCAGTGGAAAGAGCCCGCAGCCACTACGGGCTAACGCTGAGTACAGTCGTTGATGATATTGTATTGATACCGTGTTGAAGTTCCGAGATTGAGAGTTCACATACTATATTATAATTAAGGTTTAATTTGAAAATAAATTGATTAATGCAGAAGTAGTCGTGTGAATCTTTCGTGAAATTTTTGCATAAGATCTGATTCTGCGACGAGATATGAACCTGGGGACCTAAAACATAAACACACTAATCCATACTCAGTAAATGTCAAAGCGAGAATGATATGAACCTGGGGACCTAAAATATAAACACACTAATCCACTCAAAAAACGTTAAAGTGAGAATAATTGCATTACACTGATCGATAATACGAGGGGGGACAACGAAGCCGAGTTGACACTAGCATAACTGCATATGATTGATTGCATTATTCCGATTGATAACCCCACCCCGTCAACGAGGCGGGGCCTGATTTTCATTAAGGCTATCATTGACATAACCACACCTATTCGTATAATTAATACGATTACCTCTCGAATTAGCATATTTATATGCATAATTACCAAATTAACATAATTCCGGATTAATTATGCACATTTAAATTTTCATTGAATTTTCATTATTTTCATCAAATTTTCACACACCACATATACAACACTCCGTGACTTTACCGATTAGAACCAAAGAGTATGGATCCTTGCAGTCACGAAAGCTTCCAATCTAGAATTGCCTACACGACTTAAGTCCTTTATTTGCCATAACGGTATGCATAATACAGTGAAAATGCTCTCTAATCTTCATTATTACTTGTGACCTACCAATGTCTGCAGCCAGAATCAATCGATGACAATCCTATTACTTGCAGATATTTAACAGATGAAATGCGTTGCACCGATAATTCCTCCTGTTTGATAATACTTCTCTCGTCCGTGTTTCATCTGTGCAGATCGTTATTTTTGTGATCAAGCCATAGTCCCCACATACCGCTCGTACCAATGCGGATAAGAGGAGTGGCGACCCACTCCTACAGTATGTAGAGTAACATTGGTATAAACGCTTGTTACAATATGAACAGCGCATTGAAAATGTGTACTATATTATGTACTGTTTAACACGTAGGCTGAATATATTATGTACTGTTTACAAAGTGTGTTCACAAATCCACACTGAGAAACACGATGATTGACAGAGGCAGGTAAATTATTTCTTTCGATAGTGTACTAAATAGAGGTATTGCAGGTAAGTAGTTTTCGGTTTTAAAGGCATAGTTTAACAAGACAACACTTGCCACCATCCTTCAAACCCATTGGTGAAAAAGAGCAAAGTTTTTGTTTACATTATATTATAATGTTTATGTGAGAGCCAGGGGCTTATGGAACCCCATAAGATTCAAATGTCCACATGTTAAGCCACTTCAATGAGCTATCATTTGTGGCCAGGTCGGTTAAAAAAAATCTATCCAGTTCAGTGGGCCTTACCTGGAAAAATAAAAATGGTTTTGTTCATAGATTAGGTTTGCTCTGAATTGCAGTGGAGAATCAGCTGCGTTTGTCCAACGTAACGTTCGCTTTTGTCTGTCTGTTTCCAGAATCGGTGCCTCAGTTACCTTACATCTATATAAGTATAGCTTTGGTGGCATTCCTTTGTTGTCTTCTATGTGGTGCCATCGGATACTATGTCTGTAAAAAGTCGAAATCTGAATTTACACAACAAGAAACCACGCAGAGGTACGAGAAAGTTGCATGTATTACGTGTTCAATGATTATGTAGCTCACACTTATTCGGATATATTTTTCTGTATTCTTTAGTTCTTTTGGTAAATTCACGTAGATATAAAATAATAAAATAAATTATATTTTTTTAATGAAAAAATACAAATGTAATAAAAACCAAAAACTCACGACATTTCGATCGCAACACACCCCTCCACCTGCAAATGTTTATAAACGCTATATTTTTCTGCTGACAAATGATATCAATAGACTTTAATTTGTTACACGCAAGGTCGCGTTTTAGCCAATCCCCTTATTAGTTTGCAAGGGGGTCTGTGATGCATGAGCCTAGAAAGACAACAGCATCAAAGTGACCCAAACGGAGGATGAATGCAGCAATGGAATGTATAACACGTTGAGAGTTGTAGGCAAAACTGGTGCTTAAACAATGGAAATTCTGTTTATTAACACAGCCTAACAGTTAACACTTGGTAACTACGATTCCCAGTCAGGACAGCTGGTAGACTGCCTGACTGGCGACGTCGAGATGGTGAAGATGGGGATGACGGTGAGGACTCCAGCAGCACGACAGGATCCCATTCCAATCCACAGCCCCGAGGTCCCCTCCTGGGGCCCCTCTTATACTGTCAGCGTGGCCGGGCTCCGCCCCCGGCCATGGAACCTACTAGCGGGTTCTCGATCTGCTCCTTCCATGACCCCCTAGATCTCTCTCTGGTCCATCATGTGGCCTGCTGTTAGTCAGGGCTGCTGCAAGCTGCAGATCTCCTTCCCTGCCAGCAGCCAGCACTATGCTGCTATGTGACTGATTATATGTCACTACATTACCCCCCCGTAAAAACCAAAAATTAAGCCGTCTCGGCTTAAGAAAACCAACAGGGAGAATTAACAATTTACGGCGAGAACCCACGGTAATAGACGCATACCCCAGGGATTATAAAGAGATGTGGGTTATCGAAATCTAACACTTTTGGAGCGCGTTCTCATCGCTGGGCCCCCAGATGGGACAAGAATGGACTCCCTGGGGACCCCCGGGATGATTAATAAATGGCCTAATGAGCGCGGCCCCCTCCCGAGAAGAAGACGAGGGATAAGAAGAAGATTACGGCAGTTCTGTCGCCCCTAGTCCATCTGTAGAAGGTGCCGTCGGTGGGTCTGTGGGTGTCAGCCACTGGGATCCTGCAGGCGAAACAATGGAATCCTGCTGAGGCGCACCCTCCGAGCCTGCTCGCCCTAGCTCGCCGGACATATCAGACACCCGGCACTCAGGTGGTGGGGATGAAGTGGCATCACAAGGTGGAAAATAGGGTTTCAACCAAACCAACACTTGCGACCGACCTGGATACGCACACACTGCGACCTTCTGACCTCAATCACCTCAACAGGCCTTGCCATGACCGGTGAAATTTAGGTGATGTGCCCAGGGGCACCTTGGGGCAATGTAACCATGCCTTGTCCCCAGGGGTCCATGGGTTTCCGGATTCACGGAGTCCTACAAGCTTCTCATTGACGGCCTGCCGTTTGGCAGAATTTCCCCGAGATACCCTCCGCACTTACATCAGCCGCCTGATCATAAGCTTCATGGGCATGGGCACAGCGACCTTTTTGCCCAGGTCCATGCCTAACTGAGCCTCCATGGGGGGTCACATCCCATCCCATACATGAGGATAAAGGAGGAGAACCCTATTGAGGCATGAGGGGCCATTCTATTCGTGGCGAGAACATCCGGAACGTGCAAATCCCAATTAGACTGTCTCATATTCTTGGGTCATTCGGTAAAGTCACGTAGATAGGTTCAAAGAAAATAACCAAAAATAACAAAAAACTAAGATGTTTCGATCGCAACACAAGTGGTCGTCTACAGTTTTCTACGATCTAAATGTCATAGTTTTTTGTAATTTTTTGTTATTTTATTTGAACCTATCTATGTGACTTTACCGAAATACCCAAGAATATGAATTCCTGCAGTCACGAAAGATTTAAGTCAAGATTTAGACTGTCTCATTAACCTGTTAGCACAGCATGGACGTAAGAGTCTTGTGCAAGAGCTCTACCATCCCCTCAGTCTCGGGGTAGTAGAGCAATGTCCGGATCTTTTTAGTGCCCAGGGAGTCGCACACCTCCTTTAACAATTTTAATGAAAAATTTCAACCCTGGTCTGTAAGGAGGTGTTCCAGGGTCCCTTTCTCGAAAACGTACCCATGTGCCTGTGATGGACGCGGCCGACTGATCTGGCAGAGGCCATGCCCCCGGCCACCAGGACAGATATTCCACCCCGACGAGAAGGAATTTGTTTCCCCTTTGAGTGGCGGGAAACAGGCCAAGAATGTCGAGGGCAATGAGCTCATTAATATGAGACACCATGATGGATTACAACGGTGGCCGGGCATGCCTCCGACATTCTGGGTCAAAAGAAGTCACGCTTCAAGGTAAACAACGTTTTCTGAACCCCAAGGTGCATTAACTTTATGTGGACAACCCGTGTAACTCTACCCCGCAGAGCAGTTGGCACGATGATGCAGTAACGCTGCAATTTCTCATCCTACCCCATTAACAGCCCATCACGAAGGGCTATGAGAGACATTCCTGCTGGTACCTTTTTACTACCTCTCGTTCCAACGCGACACCGTAATTTTATAAGAACGCATCCTCTTCCTATAGGCAGCCCCATTCAGCGTGCGTGAGACCAATTGTGTTGTCACAGGGAGCGGTTGCCGCGGGTGGTGGAACATCAACCGACGCTAGAACAGTGCACGGCGATCCTGTAGCTGCAGGTTTACATTGGCCAACACCCATCAAACATGCACAGCGGTCCCTCGGCGGTAACCGCGACAACGCATCCGCGTTGCAGTGGCGTGCACCCGTCCTGTAGGTGACCATGATAGAGTAGTTCGGCAAAGTTTCTAACCAGCGGGGAAGTTGGCCGGATGGCTGGTCAACCCGCAAAGCATATTGAAGGGCCACATGATCCGTCCGCATGATAAATTGCCTTTCGTAAAGGTACGGCCTGTACTGCTGTACAAAATGTACAATGGCCAACAATTCACAGTGCGTCACAATAACGCTGCTCTGCGGGGGACAGCGCACGGTGCTGATTCCGGTGTCGCTGGCATTTGTATCCAACACAAAGAGCAGAGAGAAATCAGGGTATCCAAGGGGAGGTACGTTGGCGAGGCCGTCACGCAGCGCAACAAACGCGGCCTTCTCCTCCCATTGAAATCTCTGGCCCGTGGAGCGGTTTAGCGATCGTTGAAAACTTGGGTCGGAACCGGCGGTAGCATGACGCGAACCCGACAAATATGTGGACCTCGCCCACCGATGTGGGGGTCGGCCATGTGCACATGCACACAGTTTTGTCAGGATCAATAGCTATCCTGGACTCGCTGACAATGTGGCCCAAATAGCGAACCGATGTCTGTAAAAAATTACACTTTTGCGACTTGAATTTAAGGTTGGCCGCCCGCACCCTGACAAACACCAACTGCAACTGCTGCAAGTATTCCTGGAACGTGCGTCCGAACACAATTACGTCTTCCAAGTAAATGAGGCATGAGTCCCATTAGAGGCTTACTAAGACCAGCTTCATAAGTCGCTGAAATGTGGCCGGAGCAGAGTGAAGACCCATCGGAAGACAGTTAAATTGGAACAATCCCTGGGGTGTTCGGAATGCGGTTTTAGGTTTGGAACCTTCATCAAAAGGCAACTGCCAAACCCCTGACAGCAAGTTGAGGGTGGAGAAAAACCGCGCACCCGACAGGGCGTTCAAAGAGTCATCCATCCGTGGGAATGGGTATGCGTCCACCACGGAGACTTAATTAAACTTACGAAAATCCACAAAAAAATGCCAACTCCCATCCCGCTTTTAAACCAGGACAATGGAAGCCTCCCACGGACTGATGGAAGGGGTGATAATGTCGGCGGCCAACATTTCGTCGACCGCCTGGCGAACATGGTCCTTTTCCTTGGGACTTAACCTATATGAATTTTGATGTATAGGAGCGGTGTTACACGTATCAATAAATATGGTGCTGCAATAGTGATGTGCAGCCAATATCATATTTCCCCTGACTAAAAATATCAGCAAATTCCTGGAGCAATGCACGCAACTCGCCCCGCTGCTCCCCAAGCCTCATCTGACTTGCCTCCCTGCTCCACCATGGCAACGACCTCTGCGGCTATATTGCTGGCCTCCTCACAACACGCAGCCGTCACGTGGGCCAAGACCATAACTGCCTGGACCACCGCGGTGCCCAGCCCGACGTTCAACACTTGCAGAAAGGGATCCTGGTCCCCCCTTACTATTTTTGGGTCCCCACCAACGTGCAACGCGAGACCCCGAATCACTCTGTTCAAAGGGGTTAAGGACCCCACCAATGGTGTCTGCGTGATCAAGCTGTTTCTGCAGCCGCAAGGGCACCAACATCTGAGCGCCTGGAGGAACCATGATGGTCTCCTTCACTAGAGCCTGAACCGTGACGTTGGGCCTCTTCAATCAAGTCGGGGGACTTAAAAAAATGCCAACCGCCCCCCCGAAAGCAGTTCATTACATCCTTTATCCACAAAGATCTAAAGGGGCATCCTTCCCGGGGCCCCTCTTATACTGTCAGCATGGCCTGGCTCCGGCTCCGGCCACGCCCCCTTCTGGAACCTACAAGCAGGTTCTCGATGTGCCCCTCCCATAACCTTTCCCCTAGATTCCTCTCTGGTCTATCACGTGGCCTGCTGTCAGTCAGGGCTGCTGTAAGCTGCAGATCCCCTTCCCTGTCAGCAGCCAGCGCTATGCTGCTACTTGACCGATTTTATGTCACTACACAATTAACCAAAAAATTCGAATTGCATAGGGTACATACATTTCTGCCGATATTTTGCCACGAAATGTAATCTTGGTGCAAGGCATCAAAACAATAGTTTACCATGGAAGTACAGTTTACCATGGCAGTCCAGTTTACCATTATAGTCCAGTTTACCAAAATGCCTCTTGTTATTTTTGTTTCCAACTCCCTGGCCTCGGGCGTTTTTGCAATGAGGGTTTGCCACACCAATGAAGTGCAAAGTTGGGAAGGGCCATCGGCACCATCACCAGAGGAAGTTGTTTTGTCATATAAAGAGGTGATATATAGAGGTTAATACTTCAATGTCTGAAATATGTAGGATTATAAATTCATGTTTCGTGGTGGGGTGTGATTGGTCAATTGGTGGATCGAAAAGCATACCACTGGACTGGCAGATCTATGCCAGAGTTACGCAGCTTGATCAGGAAGGCCTTTTACCTTCAAGAGCCTTCCTTCAGGCTCTTACAGAAACGTTTGGGATCACCTTGTGAATCCAAGGATGTCCTGAAAATACTGGTGTTTTGTCGGCCTTAATACACTGCAACAAATTAGTTTGTTTCAGCAAGCTTTCAAGCTGCATTTCTGAACCCACGGAGATGCGTTCAAGATAAGCCACAGAAATGTGATTGTTTGTCATGCAAGCCAACCTATGGATCATACCATAAGCCACCGTAGTCTGCGCTCCTGTACTAGAGGAATGGCAAAACTGCGCAAAATATCTGACCTGAGGCTCCTTTTGTGGTGGCTATCAGACTTCAACATTGGCAGTCAGCTCATGAACATATTGCTACGAATGCAAGAATAAAATAAAAGAAATCACTTTTTGACGTAAAAAACGTGCTTCCCAATGCCCAGCGTTTCGAAATGCACATTTTGTTAATCGAAATTATTGTTATTATTATTCACAGTAAGAAGTTTTGTTGGGATAGATTGTGTAAGTGTACATGTGTTGTTAAACCCGCCGCCACCACCCGACAGCCAATCAGTAAGGTTTGTCACGTAAACAAAACGTGTGTTGGAGAGTAAACCCACAACTAAATTTACAATTCCAGTACCCGTGTTACGTTTCGCTGATAATTACAACTCAGTCTCATTAGGCAACAGCCAGAGTTGTGGAGAAATCCTTCTCCTGTTTCGGTCTTACACGATATAACCCAAAAAAAGCATCTATTATGGATAATATTGGTTTGTGAAAGCCTCCTACCTGTTAAACTGACAATCATTATTATTATGACTCCCGTCTCCCAGCTATAAGTACGTGTTATACACCCACCATTCCCATCGAAATAATTAACACATTCCTGCGGAGGGAGCTGGTAGGAACGTTGGGTTGCTCGGTCAATGGCCAGGGTCAATGGCGGCGTAGTATATTCCGCAAATATGCCCGACTATGAGGGCGGGCACAAGCTGGCGTGAGTAGGTTAAACGTTGAGTTTTAAAAGGGCACCACGGGGTGACCAGCCCTCCCCACCCAGCCCCACCCCTCCCACCCCCCACCCCTCCCACCCTCCCCACCCCCCCCACCCAGCCCCTCCCCACCCCTCCCCACCCAGCCCCTCCCCACCCTCCCCACCCTCCACAGCCCCTCCCCACCCTCCCCTCCCCACCCAGCCCCTCCCCACCCTCCCCTCTCCACCCAGCCCTACCCCTCCCATTTTATCCGGGTGTCCGGATACACGTGGACAGACATCCACAGACATACACAATTAATCCCCTGCCTCCAGTGAATTAATCCCGGTTGCGCTTCCAGTCCACTACGTTTCCTACCAGTAATGCCCAATAGGAGCGCATTTGTTATATATCCGGGTGTCCGGATACACGTGGACAGATATCCACAGACATACACAATGAATCCCCTGCCTCCTGTGAATTAATCCCGGTTGGGCTTCCAGTCCACTACGTTTCCTACTAGTAATATATCATAGATGGAATCCACCAAACCCATCTATTGTTATTATTCTGTAAAACTGAAGCTAATTGTTTTGTCTCTCTTGTTCCTTCATAGATCGCCTGAGCAAGAAGTTCCCCTCAATGACATTCAAACATAGAAATCATCTATTTAATTTTTATTTTTCCAGGTATTTATGTTGAACGTATTTTACACTGTGCGAAGCCAACTATGCTAATCGGAGGTGTGGGAAAGGCAAGGCCCCACTGCTCTATGCAGCTCTTTTTTCAGAAGTGATCTTGCCGCAAATGATTGCTCAACGAAGTGGCTTATTGTCACGTGGAAATGTATAGCAGCATCCAAATACTCTAAACGCATGACGTTGATTTTAAATGTGGAGAAAAAAAACGGAGGACCTGGAGAAAAATCCACGCTATCAGGAAGAATGAGAGAGAGACACCGCAAAATCCAAATATACAACAGGTATCGTCCAGGTTGGGATCAAAGCCACGACTTCCTGCATACCAGACAAGGTAGTTAACATCTCTTAGCCACCGTGTTCTCAAGCGAGACAAGACATTTCTCTCTCTGGGTCACAGCTGTGTTATCCAATAGGCCACAGTAGGCACTGTCCCTAGGGCAGACGAAAACAAAAATGTTACAATTTTTTGTTGTTTATACGATAAACAATGTAACCAAGATATCTTCTTGAATAAATATATTTATATAGCAAGGATAAGCACAGTGTAGCAAAAAAAAGGCAGAGTCATGTCAATCGTTTTTTCATAAGTTGCAAGAAATTAACATTGTAGGTGGACTTTTCGAGATGTTTTCATTGAAAAATTATCAATAACATCTTCAAATGGTGATTTTCGCACAACCAAGCGAGTGAGCAGCAGTGCCAACTGCAGAAAGTTATCACTGACGGCCTACTAACAGAAGTGCCTATGGCCTACAAGAACCTTCAGCCTTGCCTTCAGTTGGTTATTAATGGTCACCTCCAAGCTGCATCCTAAACAAATGTCGAGCAACAAACATGCAAAGAAGCTGTCCTCGCTGAGGCTCTGTGTACAAGCTGTCCTCACTATTGCCGTACAAAAGCTGCAGGAAGGGCCTTTGCTATTGATGCCCCCAGGGTCTGGAATGCTATTGCCCATAAACTGCAACTCGAATCGCTACCAATGAGATATTCTCTCAAAACTGCTCTAGAGGAGTTGTACACCCCTAGCTGCCACTGCTATTCATTGGCGTAAAATAAAATAAAATGTTTCGCTCCAGATGACGCTGCAAAGTATTATCTGTATTTTGATTTAGCGTGCTGATCTTAATGGTGCATTGAAAAATTTGAAACTCCGACTGATGCTTCTGTTGTTGTGGAGTAACTCATGCAGCCAGCTATGGCTCTAGGATTTTGGTGTTACATGTTATTTATGTAATGTATTGCAATTATGGCTTTATTTTTTGTTGATTTCGAAAACGTTTTTTGGTTTGGACATGTTAGTTTTGTTGTAGTATGGAGTTAGACTGATGGCCTTAACCTAAGTTTTCTTGTGGTTGTTGTTGTTTGACTTGCATCCCACTGGGATTTTTTGCACACAGCGTTGGTGTACAGTGCTTTTTTAAGGAATATTTTGCTGTTTTTTTCATGGATTTTCTGTTTGCACAGTCACATAGTCAATTTAAGCTGTTTTCTTGTTCGTGTTTTTTTTGTTGTGGTTGCACCACAACAAACATTCGCAGTGCACCTTAACTTATGAGCATGTGCGTTGTGGTGTCCCGTGTGTTCCGCACGTGTGAGCACTCTCGCCGCTGCGCAGCTCGTGGTTGGCGTGTACGAGAAGGGCACCGCGGTGTATTTGCGAAGTGGTTCGTGCAGCTATTTAAATCATGCCACGAGGAGCAGTAGCGAGGGGGGGAGAAGAGTAGAGCGGGGGGGCACAGAAGAACAGGGAGTCGAGGGGCAGCAGCCCTAACATCCTCAGAGTCTGTGTACAAGCTGTCCTCACCGAGGCTCTTTCAGCGAGGCTACCGGTGCCCTCGAATATCATTTATTATAACCGATCCAATTCTCGTATCGTAGGCCTGCCTCCATTAGACAGCCAAATAACTGAGGTTATTTATTGCATAGGCCACGAATTTTTGCGCAATTCCCTATTCCCCAAATGGATTTTTACGAAAGGGAATGTAATAAATGTCCACTGTAACGCAGTGATGGACGCGAGTCTGCAATCACTCTGACAAGGCGACTTGGAAGCAGAGCCGTCCGCATTGTAAGCTGTGTTTGTACAGCTTCATGTGGGTTTTTACTTATTTTTTATGTTTACGAGCGTAAATGTGTCTCGGCGTCCTTGTCGACGTTGAGCTGACATTCGGAAACTCACGTTAGGTGGTGATTCTATGAATTCTGATAACTCTGCTCCATCCATCGGTGTGCAGTAGTTGGATGCAAAAGTAGTTCAACGTACATACACACGTGCTTTACCTTGATCTATTTTAAGTATTTCTTTTTTTGTGATTTGCTTTCCTTTTCGATGCTTTGCTCTCGTATCTTTTATTCTATTTGTATTGTTTGTTTTAACTTTCTGACCCCGTGCCCCAACTGCATATGAAAACGATCCTCAGTAGCTCATCTGGCATCTACAGAATAAATACATATTCTGATATCAGGCAGAGAATATGCGAGCCATACGACTGCAGATAGAGTTGTGTGTCGTTGAGTGCAAGCTGTTGCTAGATGTTAACTCTCTCGCCTGGTATACAATAGGTTGTGGGTTAGATCCCGACCCTGACGCCTGCTGTATACTTGGAGTTTGCAGTGTCTCTCTCACCCCGTGCTCACATGGATTTTTATCCGGGTCCTCCAAATTTTTCCCCCTCCACATTTACAATCAACAATCACGCGTTTTAGAGTATTTGGCTTCTTTACATTTGAACGTGATGATCGACCACTTTAATCGAGCTGTCACTTGTGGCCAAGAGCTAGAAAGCTCAGTGGGCTTTACCTATTCTTTTGGTCTTTCGGTAAAGTCAAATCAATTAAAAATAAAATAAGCAAAAAACTCCGACGTTTCGATTGCAACACAAGCGGTCGTCATTAGGCGGAGAGAAAAATAAAACCAGTTTAGTTTGATACCGTGACATCTGGTGGTGAAGCACACTGAACTGAATCAACTTCCTTGTGGGGCATCGCGTGACACCTGTAGTCTCATTGACTGGCTTCGGACAAATGTCACACCGCCTGTGGCCGACGCGCAGTGAAGGCTTCAGTCTGTGAGGTCACGGCACCCAGAAGTCCGGATGTGCTCTGGAGGCGATCACCCGAGGAGTTAAGCTCGTCCATGTCAAACCGAATCACACGGTAAGACGGCTTTACTGCGGGTGCAGGGCCATATCAAATAGGTCACAGTAGGCACTACGAAAAATAAAGGGTCTACGAATGAAAATGTTGACCATGTTGTTTTGTTGTTTGTATGATAACAATTTTAGCCAAGATATCTTCTTGAATACATATATACAGCAAGGATAGGAATAGTGCATATACAAAGAGGCAGTCATGTCAGTCGTTTTTTTTAATAAGGTGAGATAAATTAACACTGGAGATGAACTTTTCGAGATTAATTGCTAAATTTGCAAATAACATCTTGTAATGGTGTTTTCGCACAATCTCATTCTCAATAGAGAGCAGTGCAAAAGGAAGATAAGCTTTGTTGTCCGATGTTTGGTTGGAGAGAGATTTTTTAAATCAGCTTTAGCTTCGAAAAGGAAGGCTCCCTTTCACACTTTGAAGTATCGCGTGCAACAAGCGCAGTGACAGCGGAGGTAGTAACATGGGCAGCAGTACCGGCTGTAGAAAGTTGTCACTGAAGGCCTACGAAACAGAAGTACCGAGGGACTACAGGAACCTCAATCCGGCCCTGTGTAGGCGGCTGCCATGCAGGTGTCGTGGTTAAACTTCAGGAGTGATGTTTCTGTTCAGTGACCTCGCTGGCACACTGACTGCAGACTCGGGATATTTTTTTCACGAACCAAGAATAGCCACAAGATTTATAGTAGCTTCGACATAGACTTGTCAAGTGGGAAATTGGCCCTGTAGTTTTCACGTCAGAAGTGTCTGCTCCAGCCTTCTTCAACTGCGGCGTGACAATGGCGTGACATTGGCTAGGTGAGGGATCGCTCTCCAGCAACTACAGACGGCAGAGGAATATCGCTCACAACGAGCAGAGCGCCGGGCAGATAAAATGCACAGAGTTGGTACAGTGAGGAGCACAGTTGGTGCATCTGCCAGCCAACTCAGTCAAATCGATGGCACCAGGATCTGTTCTGTGACCTCCTGCGCCTAGCCTGGCGCAGTGGCCAGGACAGTTGGTGCATCTGCCAGTCGTTTCAGTCAGTCAAACCCTGCTGGGTCTGTCGCGTGACCCCCTGCCATCGGGACTTCAACACTTCACGTGATGGCCTCAAAGTGCACCTAGCCTAGCACAAGCGCACGTGGTGACGTCACCGCCACTTAGTGATGCACGCCGATTGTTTATTCCTTCAGTCTGGAAGTTCGTTCTCCCCACCGAATGCCACGATAGTCGCATACACCGTTGTCACGTCCTCTACGGGAGCTCCTTGAGCCTCCGCACCAGGAGGGAGAAGCTCCGTTTGAAGGCTTGCATACACGATCTGTCGACATACACGCACACAAATACACACATGGAAACCAATACCAACACGAATAAGTGATGAGGTCACCACGGCACCTATGCCAGGCCAGGTGCACTCCGAGGCCCCTTGCAGTAAATTAAGGCTCTACTGACAGGTCACGAAAAAGGCTCAGCTGCCATGGGCTGAATGCTATGCCAGGCTAGGTGCAGGAGGAGGTGACGGAATAGACCCAGGTACTATTGGTTGACTGCCGTGCTAGGCTAGGTGCAGGAGGAGGTCACGGGACAGACCCAAGTGCCATAGGTTGGCCGACTGAGATCACTGGCCGATGCATCACCTGTGCCCCCGACTGTGCCAATTTGCTCCACGGGGAGAGAGACACGCAGACTTCAAATATACAGCAGGCATCATCAGGGTCGGAATTGAACCCACGGTCTCCTGTATACCAGGCGTGGTAGTTATAATTTCACCATGGGCAGAGACACCACAAACTCCAAATACAGTATACAGCAGGCGTCAGGGTCGGGATCAAACACACGACCTCCTGTATTCCATGCGAGGTAGTTAACATCTCCTAGCCACCGTGGCTGGTAGCACCTACGGCACACCGAGAGGTTAGGTTGTGGCCAACGCGCTTGGATGGTGGAGTTTTCCCACCATGCCGTGGCGGCGTGCAACAAAGGGCAGCAACTCAAAC